AAAAAAAAGCAATCTGAAATAATTATGTAAATATCTAAATCACACAAAGCACTTTTTGCACAAGTAAATATGTATGTATGTGTTTACCTATTAGAAAGGTATATACAACCTCAGAATACAGTAGTTGTACAAAGGAAAATGAAAGGAAAATGAGAACAGAGTAACAAGGAACTCAATTTTATCTGTAATGTCCTATTAAAGCAACACTCAAGTAAAAATGATAAATGACAACATTCTGTACATTAAATTTATGGAACCTTGTTTTGCATTTTTTGTAAAATATTTTTTAAGTCACATAAAGATGAACTAACACTGCAAGGGACACTGAAATGTATATGTTTGTGTGTCACAAAACCAATTTACAGTGTCTATAGTTTGCCACAATAGGCTGCAAAAATGACTTACCTGTGTACCTGTTTTCAAGCCCAATTTGAATATCACTGCTCTTTAACATAGCTATCTCAAACAATTAACAGAGAAGTCTCTCAAACAATTAACAGAGAAGTAAGTTTTTAATAGGACACCTAGTTCTACCATCTACTTCAGAGTCTCAAATTTACAAAATGACTTAAGTACCTTAACATCCAGTTTTAAAAGGCTTATTTTAAGTGGACAATGAATTATAAATTAAAACTTTCCCTTGAATTTTCACATAATACAACAGAAGTGATAAAGCTAACTATCTTACTGTGGATTATCCACTGATGTTGATTACCTGTGGTTAATTTTCTTAATAAAAATTTTACTTTGGAACAATTTTACGTTTACAGAGGATTTGCAAAGAGTTCCCATATACTCTTCACAAAGTTTCCCCTAATGTTGATATATTGCATAACCATGTTACACTTGTCAAAAGTAAGCAATGAACACTAGGACATTACTGTTAACTAAACTACTGACTTCATACAGATTTCATCAGTTTTTTCACTAGCACCCTTTTTTTGTTCCATAATCCAATCTGAGACACCACAGTGCACTTGGTCATCAGGTCTCCTTAGGTTCCTCTGGTCAACATCAGTTTCTCAATTTTTCCTTGTTTTTCATGACCTTGAAATTTTTGAAGAGTACTGGTCAGATACTTTGTACAATATTCTTCAATTTGAGTTTGTCTGATGTTTTCCTCACACTTAGACTGGGATTATGGGTTTGGGAGAAGAATAAATACCACAGAGGCGAAGGGGATACATGACACCAACACAATTTTTCACTGATGATGTTATAAGCATATACCCAGTATCTGCCAGGTTTCTCCATTGTAATGTTACTATTTTCCCTTCAATCTGTTCTTTACTTTAGCCCACTCCTGGGGGACACTTCTGGTGAGGCAGGACAGGGAATGGAGGAAAGGAAAATATCTACAAATTTTACCTGGAATAATTCTCTAAGACTTATACCTTCTCTTATTTATTTGCTAAACCATTTATTTATGTCAGCATGGACCCATATATAGTTAAATTCTACTTTGGGTAATAATCCAATACTAAGTTATTTCGTTGCTCAAATGTACCAGCTCGACATTAAGAATTCTTTCAGGTTGTCTCCCATGTTGCTTTGACATGGTACCATCATTTTGTTTTTTTAAGCACTCCCTTACTTCCTGGCACTACTATATGCTCCAATCTCATCTAGTATTTCCCTTGCCCCAGCCCTAGAATCAGCCATTTCTCCAAGGAAACCTGCTTCCTTTTACTGGAGAATGATATTTAGAAGCCAAGATCTGGGCACTGAACATATTCATTGTTACTGGCATGCCACTACTTCTTAGGCCCTCTCAGCAGAAAGAGCTTGAGAAATATAAGCTCTTATAAGCAAATGCCCAAGTATAAGCACACACATGTATAAGTACAACCCAAATATAAGCTCATACATATATAATTTCTGTATGTTGTCTGTGCATATTTTAAACCCAACATGAGTTCATAATGATGTCTTCAACTTTAATCCAATACCTTATAGTTAATTTTTAGTCCCAACTTCCCTCTAATACCTAGCATACTCACACTGCACCCTCTGTTGGCAAGCAGTCCATTAAACTCAACTTTTATTATTAGTTGTATTGAAACAGGAAAGTAAAGTATATTTCAAAATGGAACCCTATGATCAGGTCATCTCCACTACCAGGACTATATACAGCAGTACACAATTAAGAGAACTACATAAATATTTCTTACTTAACTTTTCAACGTTTTTTAACCATTGCTCTCTTACTTTCTCTGAAAAGACCCCTTCCTTTAAATTTAAAAAAAAGAGATGAGAGGTCAATGTCACAGCTTACTATATACAGACCACTAATATGCCACCTTAAAGATAAGAAAACCAATAAATTTTGTGGTTTACCCTACGTCATACTGACAACAAAGGACAAAGCTGGAACTTGACTGTGTTTAAATCCAGTTTTTCTAGTCCACTTTCCATGGTATCTACATTAGACTTCATTTTAGGTTATAAAAAGAAGTCAATTCATAAAACAAAAAAAGCTTTTTAAGTGACCAGCACACATAAGTTCAATTCATTACTTTCCTCAATTGTTTCAAGAAATAAAATGTAGTTAGGTAAAGAGTAGTTAGTTCACCTTCTGTGAAATCAATTAACAGAATAAAGTATGTGTTCAGTTAGAGGTAAAACCACAATTAAAACAAACACAAACTTATTCAGGAAATGAAAACCCACTAAACATCCACATTGTGCAGATATTTTTAACAACTACTGTGTAAACTGGACAAACAAATGAGACACACACTCTACCCTTCCAGAACCCATACTAGTAAGGCCAGGGATGTGGATTGGGGTAAAAAATATGGAAAACAAGATATAAGTGAAGTGTAAATATACAGACATTCTTTATTTTTTTTCTTCTACTGAGAACATTATTAGTCTGTAAGGATTTAAGAATCTTGATTGTTTTCTAGCAGAGGTGGCATACTTAATAAAAGAACAATGTTCACTGATAGTTAAAGAGTAAACTGCTACTCAGATAACTGCTGCAATACTGAAACTTAAAAATAGGCATCTTAAGACATTCTCAAAGGGGCTGGAAAAGCAACAAGACACAATAAGATGTGAGTAAAGAGGCAACTATCCCAGATTTCAGTTCAGATGTCTTATTACCAAGCCAGGATTGGGTAAAAATTTGACCTCTCATCTACATGTCACCATATTTAAAATGTGTGGGGCTATCACCAGCCCTCCTTAACCTCAGACTTTTGTAAACTCAAATAAGAATTTGCACAGCAAAACTGCTTTGTAAATTACAAACTGCACTACTGAAATGCAAACTATTTTTTTTTAAATAATAGGTAGATTCATACATACACATACATACAAATACAGATACACACACACAGTGTCATTACTTACCAGGACACCAAGCAACAATGATGACTATTATCTACTTGAACCTCAAGTTTCTTAAATTCAGCAGAGTAAAAATTTACCTAAAACACTTTAGTTTTTAAAATATATACATTTCTTAAAGTTCAAGATTAAATTCTATGAAGCAACAGCTAGAAATGTAGGTAAGAAAACTTACCTTTACAAAATTGTCAGGAAACATTCCTCTTCTCCCATTTAGTTCTCCTTCTAGCCATCCTTCTTCCTGTAGTTTTTTCACATTCCTGATGATTTCCCCAACTCGAATAGTTAATTCATCATCATGCACAGCATCATAGTCATACTCCACAATATAGTCAACTAAAAAAAAAAAAGAAAAAAAATGTCTACAATTTAATTCATGAAATACTATTAACCACAATAATATCTTAAAACTAAGGAACTTGTTTAGCAATAATAATTCATATTACAGAAATATCAAGTCTTACCTCAGTGATTTAAAATATTTGGCTATATTAGCATATTTCATTACCTAAGTACACAGTACAGTACACATTTTAAGTAGAAGCCTCAATACAATGTATGATTCAAGTTAGCAGTTATTCTTATAGTTAGATGTATACCCTTCAATGACAAACTCTAAGGTGACTCCAATCTCTTGAGATTCATGTCCTTGTGTAATACCCTCTTCCTTGAACATGGACATAACTTATGACTAACTTCTAACCAACAGAATATGACAAAGATAATGGAATTTATGTGACCACATGGCATGGTAATGTTCATCTTGCCAGGTAACTCTCCTACTGGCTGGCTTTGAAGATGTAAGCTGCTATGCTGTGAGCTGGCCTATAGAGAAGGCCACATGGAAGCAACTAAGGGAGGTCTCTGGCTGACAGTCAGCAAAAAACCAAGGTGCTCTGTCCAACAGCCCCCAGGGAACCAGATGCCAACAACCATGGGAGTGGGGAAGCAAGTCCTTCCCCAGGTGAGAACCCAGACCTGGCCACCATCTTGATTGCTGCCGTGCAGAGGACCCAATCAACCAAGCCCAGATGGCTGAATCACAAAAACTCTGAGATAATAAACGTGTAATATTGTACCCTGCTAAATTTGTGGCAATACCATCAGAGAACAAAAAGAAATGAACAGACTCTGAAATGAAGATTAATAAGGATCTATTCCACCTGCTTAAAGTATTGGAGTTTAGATTATAGGACACTATATGTGCATGCCATTAAATAACGTATTTCCTATTCAAGATGGCAGACAAGCCATACCTCCATTTCTTTTCTTCCTCCTATAAGAATGATAAAAGAGCACACACACACATAGCTACAACCAAAAATTTGAAAAGGCAGTATGGGCAGACATTATTGGTTGTCAAACCAACAACCATTCTCATATTAACTCCCCTTCCTTCTTCTTACTGAATGATGATTTTGTTCAATCATTTTGAAACCCTGTACTTTTACAAGTGAGGTATCTCTCAGACCCAGGGATTTAAATCTTGAGAAGTCTCAACTACTAATGTGTAATCTAGTCATCTTGTTGATTTGGGGAACCTTGTTTAAACACAAACTCTGGTTAAGTCCCAGGACACCTAATGCTTGCTGGTCAAAGAGGCAAAAGTCTAAAGATAGTTTATTTATAGTAATTGTATTCACACACACACACACACAGTCTCTCTCTCTCTCTTTCTGTTTCCAAATACACAAGTGACGGATGGATTCTGACCATTAAACCGTAATCAGGGATTCTAGGAAGGTTTTATTCACTCTTGAAAACAGTAGACAAGGAAGGAATGTCCTCCTACAGACTCTGGATACTCTTCAATGAGAATGGCCCAGAAATGCTACAACTACTTGAGACAAGAAAAACAGCAGATTAGGATGAAAGAGACAACAGATGAAAATAACGTGGATTTTTGCTAGATTCATCAACCTACTAAATTAACCAACTCTTGAACTACAATACCTTTAGATTTCTTATTATAGCAGTATTTTTTTTCTTAACTTTTAAGTAAATTTCTCTTTTGCAGCTGAAAACATTCTAACCTGAAAAGGGAGCCAGTGCGAAATTTTTTACATTTGTGAAAACAGATTATTGATAAAGCCAGGAAGAAGAAACCCAGGTTGAGAAGGAAACTGTAACTAAGATACCAAACTATTTTGCAGTTCCAGAAAAGCTAGAAATTTAGAAAAGGAGGGCTCATGGGAAATGCAGAGCTGAAAATAGGGGAATTAATCTCTGTATATAAGTGTTGACATTCATTATCAAACAAAATAACTCTAAGACACTAACACTAAGTTGGCAGACATTTTTCTCCTAAGGCCAAAACTAAACGGTTAAACACATAAACACATACAAATAGTTTGGGGAAACTAGTATAGCTACTATGGATCAGTGCTGCTTTCTTATAGAAATGACTACTGATTTCCATAATTCACAGGTCTCCAGAGCAATGGATGGCTCTTCACTTACTAATTCTAAAATAAAACGATCAGTCCTACCCACATAAGCAGAGTTCCCAAATGACTTATTTATTTATTATTTATTCATAAGTACAAGCAGATAATCGTCAATCATGGAAGACCATGATAAACTGAAAAATTACTCCTGGATGAAACATACACCCACATTCCCCCAAAACTTTCCAAAACAATTTAGTCCTAAAGTCATTAGGTGTGGAAGAGCACAGTGGGAGGGAGAGGAGTCTGGTGTGAGAAGTCAAAGGCCAAGAAGAGTAAATAAGGTGTCCAAAGCTTAGGTAGGGGTGGGAGCGATGCAGTCAGAGCCAGAGTAGGGTGAGGAGAGCATCCACACCTGGGGGCTTCCCCAGCACAGCACATAAGACCTCTGGGTAAGGTCAGGAGGCATCTGTGAAGAGGCAACCTGATACAGTGTGTCACAGCCCAAGCACAGTGGAGAGAGCATCCAAGGTGAGGGGCAGCTTGGTAAGGGCTATCAAAGCCAAATGCTGTTGAGGAATAGAGGCAGATCTACATGCAACAGTGTGGGAGGGTGGCAACAACCTAGAATGAGGACTAAAGAGACTAAGCAGGAGAAGAGGGTGTCTGTGCAAGGGTGGGGAAACGAGAGCAGAGATGGATGATTGGCTACATCCAGAGGGACTGCTCAAATAAGTAAATCCATTAAGGATAATGGGAGCCAAGATTCTCTATGCCAGAGAGAATAGAAAGGGAAAAAGCTAGATTCAATCCTGTAATACTAAATGCGAATGAGAAGTACCACCACGAACTTACAGTTTTCAGTACATAGAGACGCACAAAACACAAACTCACACATACAGCTCTGTCTACTGAACTGAAAGGGCCTAAAAAAAGTGAGAACCCAAGGGCAGTGAGCAAATCTTACGCTGAGATCTTATAAACACTACTTTCTATTAAAACGTACCAAAAATCCTTAGAAAGAATGGCAATTCCAGGGCTAAGGCAGGAAAAGTAGATTATAAACCTGAAGCATAGTGCTGTGCTGGGAAGCTGGGAAGTTTTCAAGGAAAGATGAGATTATGCAAAAGGACAGAGAACTGATTATCAAAAAGGCTCCTACTGACCACATTAGGACAATTTGAGCATCAAAATAAATAATGACAGTAACAATATATCCCATTAAACACAGTTAAGAAATCAGGAATCCACACATGTATTAAGATTAATTTGTTACATTATATGGCAGGATTGAGATTAAATAGAAGATCCTGATTTGTAGAAAATACACAGTAAAATATTCAGGAGAAAGGCATCAGTCAGGAAAAATTTCTTTGTACTGTACTTCTAACATGTCTAGAACTTGTTTCAAAATCAAAAATCTTTAAAGCATGTACAAATCTGTGACCTCAAGACATGTAAAAAAAGTTCATAGAATGGAATATTGTGAAAAAAGAAATGAGAAAATAAAAAAGATATGGATACTTTTACTTTTTTTTTTGGAGAGGTGGAAACTGATCAAAGGAAGTTCCCCCAAAAAAGGTAAAGCAGAGATATAACAAAAATACGAAAGCAAAGATGAGACACAGATGATCAATCCAGATAATCCTACAGGACCAATTAATAGTTCTACAGAAGAAAAAAAAAGGGACAATACAGAATTGACAATGAACTAATACAATACTCCAAAGATAAATGAAACAAACCTTCAAACAGAAAGAGGCCTGTGAGAGGCCAGTACAATGAACAAATAAAAAAGTAAGTACTTACATCTCCATGAAATTTCACAACAAAGATAAATACATCCTAAAAAGCTCTCTGAGAGGGAAAGAGAGTTCATCTATCAAAAAATGAGAATCACTATTAGAAGACTTCTCACTGGCAATACAGATTCTAGAGGAAGAAAAATAGAAAAGCAAAGCCCCGTTAAGTGTTAAAGGAAAATGAATTCCACACACAGCCAAATCAACAGCCAAGTACAAGGGTCTAACATTTTCACAGGCAAGGACAAAGAAAATTCACTCTTACATATGAAATTACATGTCATCCAGCAATAAACAGATAACAGATGAACGGATAAATGGAGGACAGACGTGAGATTACATACAATAGGTAAAGTAAACCTTTACCAATTATATCAAAGAGTTAAAAAATGAAAAGTATTAAAACATATTATTGAGAAACACAAAAAACAAAAAAAAATAAAACAAAAAGACTATATAGTTCCAAGTGGTTTCCCTCTTGAGAATGAGTAGTAGAGAACAGGAGGGCAAGAAAACATTTTCATTATAAGTCCTTTAATACTTTTATATTTTTATACCACATGCAGGTATTACTAATTTAATAAGATTTTATTTTTTAAGAATCACTAAATATTAAAGTGGCTCATCCAATATGGCAAAAATGTTTATAACACATGGTACTATGTGTTCTAATTAAGAAGTTCACTGAGTCAAAGATAATCTATTTAAGCTTGCCTATAAAAAACACCATATGGTAAATTCTTGCTCTTTTCAACTTAATCATATCTAGCCTTATAATATTAACTAAGAAAAGTTATAAAATATAGGTACAGTGACAATATATTTTTGTAAAAAAGGGAAGAAATGAAAATTTACATAGAAATATATAGTTACATTCCAAAATGTTAACATACACCTGAAGGGATTTCATTTGCTGTTTATTATCTCCTTCTGTTTCATCTTCAATAAAGAATTAAGCTTACCCAAAAGAGATGTTCTGGACTTTGCCTCATCTCCAGGGAGGTGCTCTCTAGGAAGAGTATTGTTTATTTGGGGACCTCTGGGTTCCTTATCACCTTCATTTACCTGTGTTCAACACTAAACACTCCAGCAATGTAATTACGTCAGGTGGGGCTTTGAGTCATGCAGTTATCTGTTCTACCTCTGG